TTTCAAAGGGAAATAGCGACCGAGCAACGTCGCGTATCGAGGTCAAATATCTTCGTACACAAATGTATATGACTACTGCAGGCATGAGGCAGCTAGGTTAGATTTACCAACTCAAAACAACATTTTCTAACTTACCAAAATCGGCATTTACATACACAATCCCGTTACAAATTCGCTTCAACGGCACGGCAATGCTGTCACGACCACGCACACACACAAAAACACCGTAGTAAACGTCATAACGAACGTTTACATTCCTAATTACACTATTTAACGTCGTTTTTCGGCACTGCGAACAATATATCACGTGTAGAACAACTTCATCTATCACATTTCACGAGCACAAGCCTTAAAATGTCTGTCAACCATAGAAAAAACGTTATTTTTTAGCAAAGACAGCCTAATCACCACTCCTTTTCTCTCACGATTTGTGATAGCGAACAGCTGCGGTGCGTGGTTTTACCAAAACAAATACTGGTACTGCCATCTCTACCGGCGATGTAGAGAATATGTCTGAGTCAGTGTGACCGTGACCGGGTCATTTACCGCACTCTTCTCAGGAAATTGTTTACTACGTAGTTTGAAGGCTGGCCAGTAGATGGCGCTACAAAAAAAAATTTTTTCCATTTAAATTCATCTTTGTATCTATGCAAAATGGTGATATAATTTTGTTTCAACAAAATAAAATAATAAAAAGAAATATGCAAAAAAGACGCCCCGCCGTAACAGTGTGCGACACTGCCGTGACCAGGATTCGAACCTGGGTTACTACGGCCACAACGTAGGGTCCTAACCACTAGACGATCACGGCTATCGGAGCAGGTGTTAAAGTGAGCGAAATAATGGACTTCATTCGACCAAAGAGATCACATTGTAATGGTGTGACGTCATAGAATCAGATCGTATACCCGATTTCGGCGAAGTCAAAAAGATAATAAATGTATTTATAACATTTTTATATATGCTTAAACTATGTAACGTGCTGTTTTATGCAGGTGTAGACATTTATCATTTATAACATTGACTTACAATTATATGGACGTCGGGTCCGCGCTAAAAAGTGTCCGAACTTATAGGGCGTTAAAATCGTATACAGAGCGTAATTCACGCTTTAGTCTTCGTTTGTTCGACTGACAGCGAAGCAAGCAA